GTTTGACAAAAGATTTGGACAGAATGTCTTTGACAATTTCTTCTGAAAGTGTATAAAATGTCAAATTCCTATGAGGGCGCCAAGGACATTCTAGAAGGTAATTGATCACACTTCCCTTTCCAACATTATGCAGCTCCCTGACCTGATCTAACTATTCTACACTGAATGCCGGGCAGGACTGCCTAACCACGAAATGCCTGCGCCTTGATAACCTAAAACAGCTACTTGTGCATCTGAGAACTGCTCAAATGGCTCTTGGACAGGGAGTGGCCAACATATTACAGATTTCTCATTGAAAATCTGGTAGAGTGGTTGGGTAAGCATTGAGAGGTTAACTGCAAAGTCAGTGGTTCAAACCCATTAGCCTGCTCCGAGGAAGACAACGAGGCTGTCATTTGTCCCTTACAGACTTATAGTCTTGGAAATTCTATGGGGCAGTGCTCCTCTGTTTTATAAGGTTGCTCTGAGTAGGACCTGACACTCTGGTGCTTGTAATTTTATTTTATTCCTGCCTTCCATGTGTGGAGACCCAAGTTCAGTTCCCAAGCCAATCCATGTCCTGTGTAGCCACCTCTTGTCTGTCAGTGGAGGCTTGAGTGTTGTTACGATGCTGAAGAGATTCAGCAAAGCTTCCAGAGAAGCAGACTCAGAAGAAATGTCTAGCCATTGACTTCAAACATGAGCTCTGTGCTTCACAATGACTAATCCCCAACCAGTCATAGGGAAGGCATAGGACTGGAATGGGTTTCCGTCTGTACTGCCTGGTGTCACCACGCATTAGTTCCCACAAAATGGCTAACAACAACCACGTGACCCTGTAAGGAGTGTTGCCTGGTGGATATCTTATATGAGCAGCTATCCCTGTAAAATTATTATTATTATTATTTTTTTTTTGGTGTGCAGGTTAAAAGGTTTATGAGAATAAGGGAATATCCCTAGCTCATATACATGGTTTATATTCTACTGCTGAAAGCTGATGATATGAACTTTGCCAATAAGTAGTTCCATGAAAGAAAGGCCAGGCTATCTGCTTCTACAAAGGCTGCAGGCAAGAACACCCAACAGAACAGCTTTGCTCTCTGACACATGGAGTTCCCACAAGCCAGAATTGGCTCCAAGGCAACAGCAGCTAGAATGAAGATGATTAGCATCTTACCCAAGGTGATAAGCATCATAACAGCATCGGCTACACCCCCACAGAGTCTGTGGGAATAATTTCTTCTCTCTTGGGGTTGGGCAGGGAACCAATAACTTCTGCCTTGATGCCTTCCTCCAGCACTCCCACCGCCACAGGTAATTCAGTTTACATGCTGTGGCAGAGACGCCACAAATCTCCCCGAATCTCAAGGATGAATGACCAATGCTGTATCTATTAACACTTACAACATGCCCACAAAAATAAAGGGAAATAATAGGAGCAATTTCAGAGAGAAGAGAAAGATTGAAGGTGATGGAACACAGTCTTATTTTTCACTTACATCTCAGATCTGTTAGACTGAAAGATAGATTCAATTTTCTTGTCATAGAGGAAAAATATATTATCTCTCTGTGTGGGTGAGCGAATCTCCCATCGGAAATCACAGGCTTATTACCACCATTATAGTCACAGTGACACAGCAGGCCCTTCTCTGTTTTGAGAAGCTAAGAAGCCACTGGCTTCTGTCTTTCCTTCTACTTTATGGAACCAGCTTGGAGCACTGTTCTCTATTATTACCTGGGTGCTGTTCTGGCACCAGATCCAATCAGATCAGACTGTTAAAGGGAAACATAGCTACATGTTAGTGTTGTAAGAGAGACCTAGAAGGTGAAATGAATGTGTCCTCTTTCTTTCTGACATTTTTGCCTGTTTGAGATGGGGTCTCCAGGGTCAGTCATCATGGGAGGCCACTTGGGAGTGCTTGGGATAACAATTGCAGGCATTCCCTTTTATCCCTGTCATTGTAATACCTGTTGTGCTGTTGTTGTTAAGTGCCATCACAAGTAGACTTTGATTCATGAATATGCAGGAAGGAAGAAGAAGAAAAGACCAAAATGGATTCAGAGGAGACTCTGAATAGTGCACTAGAGTGCCGAGAAGCCAAAGCTAAGGGAAGAAATCAAGAACTTAAGGAGCTGAATAGAAGATTTCAAAGGGCTGCTCGGGAAGACAAGACAAAATATTATAATGAAATGTGCAAGGAGCTGGAGTCAGAAAATTAAAAGGGCCAAACTCTCTCAGCATTTCTTAAGCTGAAAGAACTAAAGAACAAATTCAAGCCATGAATTGCAATGCTTAATTAAGGATGCTATGGGCAGAATATAGAGTGATTCAAGAAGCATTAAAAGCAGAGGGAAGGAGTATACAGAGTCATTGTGCCAAAAAGAATTGGCAGACACAGAAGACTTTCAAGAAACAGTATATGAGGATGAGGCAATTGTGATGAAGGAGGAAGTGCAGGCTGCTTTGAAGGATTTGGAAAAAAAGAAATCCCTAGGAATTGATGGGATACCAGTTGATGTATTTCAGGAAACAGATGCTGCCCTGCATGTGTTCACCAAGTTGTGCCAAGAAATCTGGAGAACAACTACTTGGCCAACTGAATGGAAGAGATCCTTATTTATTCCCCCCAAAAGGTGACTCGACAGAGTATGGAAATTATTGTACAATATCAGTAATATCATACACTAGCAAAATCTTGCTGAAGAGTATCCAGAAAAGACTTGA